ATACACAGGGGAGACATCAGGGGTCTAATAGACCCTTGATGTCTCATTAACTGCTTGCCACCGGCCAAGAGTACATTTACTGCAGGCTAGCGGCACACCCAGGCTAGGAAATGTACTGGTGTTGTAACCTTTCTCTTGGGTTCTGGGCGCAAGTGTGCGCACCCCCTACTGACTCATACTGTGATTGGACACAGTACAAGTTTGTCAGCAGGTTTCAGCCATTGATTGTGTCTGAATACTTTCTGATTGACTATGTCCAATTACAGCACAGAGTTCACAGGACAGCAATCTAGCTGTTTCTTCTCCCTGAAAAGCAGGGGGATCAACAACCAGATCTGTGAGTAGAAGAAGCACACATTACACTTGTTAGGCACACAGTTAACCCCTTGATTACCCCTTGATTATTAACACCTTCCCATCCAGTGTCAGTACAGTGTACAGTGTTACATCTGATCACTGTATTAGTGTCACTATTGATGTCAGCACCAGTTAATCAGTGTCCCACTCAACCAGTGTCTGTTAACATCAGATTGTCCACCACACTATCAGTCATACTAAGTCGCTCACCACTGCCATTACAACGATAGCATTAAAAAAGTATTCATACCCCTTGAAATTTTCCACATTTTGTCATCTTACAACCAAAAACATAAATGTATTGTATTGGGATTTTATGTGATAGACCAACACAAAGTGGCACATAATTGTGAAGTGGAAGGAAAATGATAAATGGTTTTCATATTTGTTTACAAATATATCTGAAAAGTGTGGCGTGCATTTGCAATTAGTAAATAGAGTCCACCTGTGTGTAATTCAATTTCAGTATAAATACAGGGTAGGAAAGTTTGTCGTCATTTTAACCACTTGCCCTCCAGAGGATTTACCCCCCCCCCCCCCCCCCCTCCTGACCAGGCCATTTTTTTTTTTTTTTGCATTATTTTAACAGACTGCGTGGTCATGCAACACTGCACCCAAATTAAATTTAAGTCCTTTTTTTTTTTTCTCACGAATAGAGCTTTTATTTTGGTGGTATTTGATTGTCTGTTTATTTTTTGCCCTGTAAGAAAAAAAAGACCGACAATTTTGAGAAAAAAACAATATTTTTGACTTTTTGCTATTTAACATGTCTAGTAAAAAAATTTTAAAAATCAAATTTCATCATAAATTTAGGCCAAAATGTATTCTGCGACATGTATTTGCTAAAAAAAAAAAAATCCCAATACTTGTAAATTAATTGGTTTACGTGAAAGTTATAGCATTTACAAATGGCGGTATGATATACTGGGATGGATTTTTGAGATCATATTGTGAGGTGTTTCCACTTTTTCGGGGCCACAATAGTAATGGTGGCGAGTTTGGGCTCCAGCGACCAACAGGTATAGCAAGGACTCGTGGCGGCAGAGCATTCTGATAGAGCTGTGGGGACTATATCTGCAAGAAAAGGTTTGCTGTTACTTAGTGGTCACAGGGACATCCCCACCTTGACACCAATACATCTGCTGTTTAGTCAGTGCTGGATGGCAAAAATGTTTTGTTTATTTTGACACTTGCAAACCTTTTTAATAAAAACTGACATCCAGTCAGATTTTGAAAAGCCTGCTGTGCGGTCTACATTGTCCCAGGGAAGGAGATCAAGCTAACCCCACACGTTATATATACTGGGATTGCTTCATTTTTATACTATGTAATGGTGTGTGTCAGCTTTATAGCGGGACTGTAAGCACACTGGGGGGAACTGACTTAGTGTCACTGACTCCCCAGTGACACCATATGCAGAGCTAATAAAAAGCCAAGGACACTGTGCTAATGGCAGGGCAGGAAGGGGTTAACATGAGGGGAGATCTGTGTTGCTGTTTACACATGGTGCTCTCACTGTAAGCACACTACTTGGTATGGCTCTGTAAGAGCCATACCAAGCAGTGTGCGATCAAGAGGTGTGTATACCACAGGGCTCGAGGAAGATTGTGACCTCTCTCTTCTGTAATACTTGGCGATCACCAGTTGGCGGCGAGTAATCGTGATTGAGGACGTGAATGGCGGCTGTGCTAGGGGGCGCACGTGCGCCCCCTGCCTGGGAATGCAAAATCGCGTGTATATATACGTGATTTTGCGCACCCGTGCCACCCTGTAGCAGTATTTCTGCTATAGGGCAGAGGGGAAGCGGTTATTATCAACCTCATATTATTCCACTCTAATCTGCGTGTGAGTCTACTTTCCGGTGGTAATCTACTCTGGGCAAAAAAACCTGTGGTATCAGCAGGGGTTGGGCTTTCATAGAGGGGTCCAGAATGACAGGGAGCCAGGAAATAACTCAGCGACTCCTAAGGGGGTAGTGCTACATTATTCTCCAGGGTCTGTTTTGGGGGGTTTTAACTGATCTTCAGGCCTAAAATAATTTTTCAAACATGTATGCAAATCGCAAAAAAAAGGGCTGTGGCTGTGAAAGGGTTAAAGCGTAAATGCGGTTAATGTGCAAAACCATCCCCTGGCTGAAATGAGACTTCTTACTGGGTGTTGCAGTATCCATTGCTAATGCTAGTTAATGGAATGAAAGCACGTACAAACTTCTTGTGATCTGTCATGAGACAAAACTAAATGAAGTTGACTGGAGGAATGTGGATAATGAACATTACGTGGCTTGGTAAGCACAGCAGGGACGAGGCCAGTCCGTTCTCTTGTCTCATTGTCAGCCTGGCGGATGAAGGGCTTAGCAGGTGTTCCCAGCCTAGATCAGCCTTCATCTATATTCTGTGAGTAGCTGGGATGCTAAAATACGCAATCTTTTTCACCAATCTGCAAATATTGGCTGAGCCCCTATCTCTCACTTCTTTTATGTTCGGATCTTTCTATTAGGAATGTGGCTGCATAGCTTACCATTGACATAACTATTACTATGTAAAGTATGATGTGCTGTCTATACATCATCTATATCTAGATCTCACTCATACAGCAATGAAACATGGCATTTATATTATAAAGGAAGCCTTTCATTTTCAATATATGAAAGCTGCGATTTTTGCTTTTAAAATCCACCATGGCAAGCTCTTTATATTAATCCTTTTGGGAGTTCCTTGCGATAGAAAAGGTATTATGCTCACCTCTCTGAAGGGCCCTTGACTTCTGTTTTCCCTTTCTTCAGAGCTATTTTCACACTGCTTTGTTGCAAAAACTCTGTAAAAACACATATGAGTTTTTGTTGCGCTTCCAATGCTTTTTCTGACTGCCTATTACCTGGCATGCACCTGTGAAATATGGATTTGTGACTCAAAAAAAGCATCAAAAGTGCAACGCAGGTGCGTTTTTGTTGCATTTTCTATTTATGGGGACCTGAGTTTTTGGGTGCAGTTTTTAAAATCGCAAGAAAGATACAGCATGCAGGACTTTTAAAATGCACTGAAGCTGCAGCACAGAGGTTTGAGAAGTCCCATGGGGTTTAAAGGGACTGCATTTTTTTTTTTTTTTATGTTTTTAGCTTGGTAAAAATGGAGCAAAAAAGTAACCTAAGCCTGTGGTGTTTCTGGTTGCCTGAACCTATGAAAAATGGACGTGTGACTCAAAGGCACCAAAATGCAGTGTGTTTGTTGCACTTTCCATTTATTTTAATGGGGATGTGCAGTTTTTTTACCATGTGCCAAAATGCAGCAAGCAGGACTTTTAAAAGTGCAAGTGACCTGTGTGAAGAGTTCCATAGGATTTAAAAGGTTGCATTTTTCATGCAATTTTCTAACTAAAAAATTAAGTAATTTTTTAACTGAAAAATTGATTAGTGTGAAAGGGCTCTGAGGCTAGTCGCTGTATGCAATGTATATGCCACGCCCACACAATATGCTTTAGGCCCTATTCACAACTGCATAACCTGCATGTGTGCCTTTTTTTTTTTCACACCTGTTTTGCGAAGTTGTTGCACAGCAACCTAGGGCAGGCCATTATTTGAATGCCCTGCCCCCTACATGTGACAAATGTGCCAAAGTAGCTCCTGTGCTTTTTTTTTTTTTTTTTTTTTTTGCAGTGAGCACAGGGCCGGTGTTTCCACTAGACAAACTAGGCAGCCGCTTAGGGCGCACTGCCACCTAAGGGCCTGCCTGGGATCGTGAATGATCCTTCAGCTGAGAGGAGGGGCGGCAGAGGGGAGGAAAAAAGGACAGAGGAAGATGCCGGTGTCTGGGCCAGTGTAGCAGCTCAGCTGCCGCTCCGTCCAGTGTTCCTCTCAGACTCAGTCCCTTTCACGCTGGCTGGCTGCTGCTGGTCACTGGAGTTCCAGCCCTTCTCTTTCCATTTATCAGTGGAGTCAGAGCTGCGCCTGCGGAGGAAGGTAATATCTGACTCTGTCTCATGTCTGTGTGAGTGTGACCAGACTGGCCATCCATCACATGTGCAATGTGTCAGTGAGTGATGACATCATCATGATCCCATAGAATGTTCTTCTAGTGTCTGCTGATCTGTGTCAGTGTTGGTGGTGATGTGTTGTGTCAGATCTGTCACTGTGTGGGATCGCTCAGTTCAGTTTTTTTATCTCCCTCCATTGCCTTTCATCCTCCTCCACTCACTGCACCTGTCACCCTGCCACTGCCAGCCACAGGTACAGTATGTCCAGGACACTGATTTTCTCTTTAATATTGGTGCTGGTGGCATCTTATGGCACTTATTTTTTTGTAAATTAAAAGAAATTTACAGTTTCATGTTTTGTTGTTTTTAATGTTTTCTACTATTTTCTACTAGGGTCTTGCCTAGGGAGAAAAATAGTCTAGTACTGACCCTGAGTGAGCCTTATGTGTTTTATGTAATGCGCAACAAAATGCTCATTGAAGCGCATTTTCAGTATTGCATGTAGAACTGCACATTCCTGGAGCATGAAGGTGTAAATGGGGCCTTAGGCTGCACGTTACACAAACATTTATTTTTTTTTTTTTATGGTGATCACTTTTATTCAAACGTGGTATTGATGCATCAGCAATGGTTACTTCAACATCTTCACCAGGTTCGATACTGATGGAAGTAATTTACTTCACAATATCAGAAGGAATGTGCAGATCAATCAGGTGCTTGTGGATCCTCATCTGGACTCTATCCCATGTCTTGGGTCCCTTTATAATAAGGGTTTTTTCTTGTAGTAATTCACAATCTTGGTGGGCATGCGCACAGGTCCCTTCACCTTCAAGATCTTTTCCTTGGCTCAGCCGATCAAATGAGTGCAGACCTTTTCCAGAGATTTCACATTGTGGCTGGTAAGTGTAATACGGATGCGGTGGATGGCCACATACTGTTCAACAGGTGCTTTGTCTTGTAATGTCATTACTAACACCTTCCTGGCAGACTTATTCGTGGGACTTGCCGAGCGAACAGCAGTGAGCAAGGAGCAGTCAGTCTGAGGAGCATTATAGAAACATTACATGTGTACATTGATTAGACAACTTAAGTACAAGAATTGCTTCCAGTAAGATTCTGTATTTTATGTTCTTGTACTTCAGCTTGCCATACATGGTTGGCACAGCAGGGACCGTCCGACATTCAGTCCATGTATGGGCAGGCTGATTGTACCCAAGTCGATCCATTGATCGACTTGAGTAAAACCAGCCTGTTGGATTTTGTTACATTCTATTACTGCCACGAGCAGTATTATAGCCACTAGCAGTTATCGTGTTCTGCCAGCCTGTAGGCAGGTGCAGCCTCTGTTCTCCATTGTAGGTGTCAGTACTGCAGCTGGAGAGAGTCAAGAGAACCTAGTATCTAAGCAATGTTAGGGTTGGCTACACTGCATTGAGGTAACCCTGGTGGCCATCTTGAGTCAGCAGAGCCTTTTTGACCACTTGAAGACCGGCCTATAGTAGTTTTACTGCTACAGGGCTGCCCTCCTGTGCAAAATCACACACATATGTATATATATATATTACTCGCATATGTGATTTTGCACTTCCGCCATAAGAAGCCAATATGCAAATGCCAGGGAATGGATATCCGCCAGCACCAGCTGATCGTCAGGCAGGACTCAGAATAAAGCTCTGCCTATGGAAACAAGGCAGAGCTCTGTTCTGATAGGTGGGGAAGTGAAGGATCACATGCCCCTGCAAAGCTGAGACCATGATCCTTCACTTCCGCTAGTTCAAGCACCACCCAGTGTTCACCAAGCACATAGCTAGGTACACATTTAACCCTTTGATTGCCCTAGATGTTAAACCATTCTCAATCAGTGTTATTAGAACAGAACATATTTTTAGCACTGATCACTGTAATTCAGTATATGTCCCATAGTTTGTAGACGCTATAACTTTTTTCTCCAAAAATATGTAGCAGAATACATTTTGGCCTAAATTTATGAAGAAATGTGATTTTTAAAATGTTTTATTGGATACGTATATCCAATAAAATATATATTATAGTAGAAAATAAAAAATATTGTTTTTTTGTTTTAAAAATTGTCAGCTTTTTTTGTTTATAACGCAAAAAAGTAAAAACTGCAGGGGTGATCAAATACCAAACGAAAAGTCTATTTGTGGGAAAAATATGGACAAAAATGTAATTTATGTACAGCGTTGTATGACCGCACAATTGTCAGTTAAAGTAACACAGCACCATATTGCAAAAAAATGGCCTGGTCTGGAAAGGGAGTTAAATCTTCCGAAGTACAAGTGGTTAAATGCCTGCCCCTAGACTTTAGCGTGCTTTCTGGTGAGTGGATAGCATAGGGGCAGTTCACCCGCCTGTGAGTGAAAGGATGAGTAGGGGACACGCCATTGTGCATCATGTACCTTACCATTGGGCTCAGACTGTTTTGCCCTCTGAGACAGACGCTGTTGGTGCTTTAGAACCTGCTCCAATACAAGTTTGCACAGAACTGAGTGTGCCCATTTTGGTGTCCTCCCTCTGAGATGTTGTTTCTTTGGGTTATTCCTTCAATACATATTTTGTTAATAGCAACTGGACTCTGTGAATTTACTGCTGTTTCACCTAGCTGAACCTACCTAGAAGCCAGGAATGCTCCAGCGCCCCACAGCGGCAGAACACAATAGTACTGAGGGAGGCATACAGTCTGTGTTGATGGGGGAATCAAGTGATTTTCTTTCCTTCCACCACTGGTGGAAGGAGGGAAAACTATCATCTATGGACTGCTTTAGTATGTCTGTGTGACTGAGAACTAAAGTGCTCACAGTTGGGGCACAACTAAGAAAATGTACAGTCAATATTTCAAGGCATTATCAATAAAATTATACATCTCTTTGGTTTCAGAACAGACTCATAAAATAGAGCTAAAGGCAGAACTTTTTTCACTTTGGAGTGAAAGTAAGGGAGGGTTATAACCACTGTCAGTTTTATGCCCCTTGTCCCATTGGGGAGATTTCCCTTCACTTCCTTTCCCATAGCCACAACAGAAAGTGAGAGGAAATCCCTCCAAAGTGGGGGAATCCCTGGCTGTCACTTTTTGGAAAATGTTCCTCCTTTTCCTGTTCTGGTGGGTTTGTCTTTCACTTTCACTCTTGGTGATTAATGGTAAACAGGAAAAATAGAGAGGGTGAATTTTGAAGTGGCAGGTGCTCTAATCCCTCTCCACTCTAAACTAAAATAAAAAAGTTTTGCCTTTAGTTATATTTTAATGCTAACATTTTATTTTGCATGCAAGATGTATAATATTTGATATGTAGTTGCATTAATAAATGTCCTCCGTGTCTGGAATAGCATGTGAAGGATGGTAGGAATGTTGGTTGGGCGCCATCTTTTGGAGCTTACATGCATAGCTCGAACACTTTATCTGCACGAATCTAAAAATTGCTCGATTTTCACAACAGGGAATATCAAATCGCACCAGTAACATGAGACAGTGCTTACTTGTAAATTACAGTTTTGTGAATGATATCCTGTTTAGTCTAAGCATTGTATTTATGTTTATTTTTAATAACTAAAAGAAAAAGAAGTAAAACTGTTAAACAACCAGAAGTATTTAACACTGAAGGACGGTGACGTCTTTTGGACGACTTGATGAGGACAATCTCAGCTGTTGGGATAAGAATACTGTTAATGGAGTGGAAAGACGTTTGTGGAAACATAGCTCAAGGTTCTCAGCTATGTAAATGGATGTTATATAACTTAAATAAAACATACTCAGGTGATCCTAGTGATGTCACATAGCATGCTCTGTGGCTTTCTCTGTGTAGTTATTGAGGAATTTCACCACAATTTACTTAAAGGGTGTGTCCACTCGTTTACATAATGATTAGTGGATTGTGTCCATGTGCTCCATTACTAGGTCCATGGTATGATTTTTAGTCTGTTACAAAGTTAAGCTGAAAAAAGACACCTAGTTCAACCAATAGAATAAATAAATGTAGAACTACTCTCATAAGGGCTGCTGAGTTTGATTCGGGTCCCACTATGCTCTGCAGGGTAAGACAACATGCATTTTCCACATTTGTACTTTTAGAGTCAGTAAAACAGTCCTTGAGCTTGGTTTTGTGATATTTTTTTTAAGGGGTTAAGAACTTGGATGGGGTTTAGTGGTATGTGGGATGCCCGAGGAACTGTAGACCTGAGAACAACTTCTGAGCAACTATGTACAAAACAAAATAGCAGTTTTATTCTGCATATATCAATTAAGTCTCTCTGAAGAGCACGAAAGGCTATTTGGTGTACCTTTTCAGACCTTGGATGATTCCTCCTCTTCACCTAGATGCCTGAGGGTATCCCTGAGCAAGTGGACCCAGGAGCTGTCAAATGAACAGTCCCAGATGAGAAGCTAGGTGGGTATTACACCTGACTGCCCTCTCCCCTTATCTAGCCTAGGGGGTGTATTAGTACACACACTGTCCTCTCCTGTTAGCTTAGTGGGTTTCTGGCTGTCTTCAGGCCTTAAGCTCGACTGGCTCCTTCCCTGCTGCACAGGCTGTCCTCCCCAGGAGACTTTGAGGCAATGAAGATCCTCTTTTCTAGCAATCTGCCTGTAGGTAGTCCCCCTCCTTGCAGCCCCCTCTCAGGCTTCACACTGAAGCCTTCCGCACTTCATCTTTCACCTGACTCTCCCCCCAAGGCCCCAGGCTCAATCATATTTAAGGGTTGCCTATGCCCAGCCTCCTTCCAGGGGATTGGCCAAGGTCCCTGAGATATGCAGATCTGTGTCTCCTCCCCTGTTCCAGTAAGTTCTTCAGTTAGTCCCTAGCCGGTCCTAAGGTGAACTCCTGTCTCACTCCCAGGCTGACTCACTCCAGGGTGCTATTCAGCCTCTATCTAAGAAATAAAAATAAATCACAAACTCCCTAGCTAAAGCTGGAGGGCGTTACATAAAAAACTAGAAAACCTCCATATACCAAACCCTATACCAACAAGTTCATTTAGGGGCCAAGAGAGCACATTGCCTTTGGTGCAGGAGAGTCTTGTGGGGACCAGTAGTGCCCCCTTGTGCTTCTTTAGTTAAACAGTCCCTTGGGATGTTGCTCTCCTTTGACACATTGTGGCATTTAACTGTATCTTACTCAGAGCTTTTTCAGTGGGTACGGAGGGCAAAGCAATTCTGGCACCTTCAGCACTGACTTATGTAATGGCAAGGGGTGCTGGGGTGTGCTGCAGGGTCTATTGATGCTGGCTGCTGGGATATCTATTGTTGCAGGTGGTCTATTGTTCCTGGGGAGGTCTATTGTTGCTGGTGGGGGATTATTGTTACTAGGAGTGGGGTCCTATGTTGCTGGGAGATCAGTTTTCATCTGGGAGGGATCTATTGTTGAGGGAGGGGGTCTATTGAATTTGTCTTCAGGAAGATCTGTTGTTGCTGCCAGGGGGCTATTGTTGCAGGGGGGGGGGTATTTTTGTTGCAGGTGGTTGATTGTTGCTGGGGTTGGGTCTACTGTTACTGGCTGCAGGGGATCTATTTTACTCCTTTTCTTGTTATCATTAACAAATTCCATACAAATTACTTAGCGCCACAAAATGATACTTGGTTTTGCATTCTCTAAAAAGGATGGAACTGGGAAGTGGGTAGAGAGTGAAACCAAGGACTGGTGCTCAGAGGTTGGTAGAGGTGGAGACCAAGGGTGACTCAGAAAGGGGGAGTTTCTTCACCTATTCCCTGAAAAAAAAAAAAAACCTTGACTTTATTGTAAAGAAAGTTCCCAAGTTGTAAGTACAAAACATTGGTATGACTACTATTCTTTCATGTTGTATGTATAAGATGTTGTTATATCTGTGTATTCATACCTTAAATTGACCCTCATGTCCCCCGATGAAGATTTTTCTGCAAAATTGAAACGCGGTCGGGTTTCATCTACAGTGGGGATCGAAAGTTTGGGCACCCCAGCTAAAAATTTGTATTAATGTGCATAAAGAAGCCAAGGAAAGATGGAAAAATCTCCAAAAGGCATCAAATTACAGATTAGACATTCTTATAATATGTCAACAAAAGTTAGATTTTATTTTCCATCATTTACACTTTCAAAATAACAGAAAACAAAAAAATGGCGTCTGCAAAAGTTTGGGCACCCTGCAGAGTTAATATCTTGTACTGCCCCCTTTGGCAAGTATCACAGCTTGTAAATGCTTTTTGTAGCCAGCCAAGAGTCTTTCAATTCTTGTTTGAGGTATCTTTGCCCATTCTTCCTTACAAAAGTCTTCCAGTTCTTTGAGATTTCTGGGCTGTCTGTCACGCATTGCTCTTTTAAGGTCTATCGATAGATTTTCAATTATGTTGAGGTCAGGAGATTATGAAGGCCATGGCAAAACCTTCAGTTTACGCCTCTTGATGTAATCCCCCGTGGATTTCGAGGTGTGTTTAGGATCATTATCCATTTGTAGAAGCCGTCCTCTCTTTAACTTCAGCTTTTTCACAGATGGCATCAAGTTACCATCCAAAATTTGCTGAAATTTTATTGAATCCATTTTTCCCTTCTACTCGTGAGATGTTCCCTGTGCCACTGGCTGCAACACAACCCCAAAGCATGATTGATCCAACCCCATGCTTAACAGTTGGACAGAGGTTCTTTTCATTAAATTCTGTGTCTCTTCTTCTCCAAACGTACCTTTGCTCATTCCGGCCAAAAGGTTCAATTTTAACCTCATCGGTCCACAGAACTTGTTTCCAAAATGCATCAGGCTTGTCTATATGTTCATTTGCAAAGTTCAAACGATGATTTTTGTGGTGAGGACGTAGAAGAGGTTTTCTTCTGATGACTCTTCCATGAAGACCATATTTGTACAAGTATCTCTTTATAGTGGAAATTGTACCACAACTCCAGTGTCTGCCAGATCTTTCTGGAGGGATCGTGCAGTCAAACGTGGGTTTTGAATTGTTTTTCTCACAATCCTGCGAGCTGTTCTGTCTGATATTTTTCTTGGTCTTCCAGATGTTGCTTTAACTTCCACTGTTCCTGATGACTGCCATTTCTTAATTACATTCCAAACAGAGGATATTGACATCTGAAAACGCTTTGCTATCTTCTTATAGCCTTCTCCAGCTTTGTGAGCGTCAACTATTTTCAGTTTCGGTTTTCTAGACAACTGCTTAGAAGAACCCATGGTGCTGATTGTTGGGGCAAGGTCAGATGAGTCTGGGCATTTAAAACCTTTGAGATTGACATCACCTGGTCTTCCCAGACGATGATTGAGAACGATCCATGACACTGGCAGGTCTCAGCTTTGCAAAGGGGGCAGTGCATGCTATAAATTCTGCAGGGTGCCCAAACTTTTGCAGACGCCATTTTTTTGTTTTCTGTTATTTTGAAAGTGTAAATGATGGAAATAAAATCTAACTTTTGTTGACATATTATAAGAATGTCTAATCTGTAATTTGATGCCTTTTGGAGATTTTTCCATCTTTCCTTGGCTTCTTTATGCACATTAATGCAAATTTTTAGCTGGGGTGCCCAAACTTTCGATCCCCACTGTACTTACATGTGCTTGTTTACTGTAGATGTGAGAATGGCCTCTGCATATATATCTTTGTGGGTGATCAGCTGTTGATTTTATATGATTTTTTTTTTTATAAAATTGTATCATTATATTTGTACTTTTATAATGTTTTGTGAGTACCTAAAAAGTCCTGTCCATCCATTACTGAGATTTAGGCAGCCCTGCCACAGAACACAGACACTAATGAAAAGTTTTGTATGGCAATACTAATCATGCTTGCTTTCCATTTATATATTAGTATTTTGTTTACACAAACCAACTTCAAAAATAAAAATTAATTCATTGAGGGTCAGTACAGAGGATGCCCCCTACATTGGTGATCAGGGGGAAGAATGTTCCTTACGTTGGTGATCAGTGGGAAGAATGCTTCTTACATTGATGGTCAGTGGGAAGAATGCTCCTTACATTGGTGATTAATGGGAAGAATGTCCCCTTAATAGTGATGATCAGTGAACAGAATTCCCCATTACAGTAGTTGTCAAAGAGCAGAATGTCAGATTTACAGTGGTGGTCAGTGGGGAAAATGCTTCCCTTACATTGGTGGTCAGCATAAATAATTGACATAAGAGGCTGAAGGGTAACCAAAAATAATTATGTAGTACAAATTGCACAGTGAAAGAGGGGATTTTTAGGGTACTACCTTAAAGTCTGCACCAATTCAACATCTATTCCATATAAAATATGTATTTATTGAGTAACAGAAAATAAACAGTAAAAATGATGAATTAAAATGTTACAAGACACCACAAATATAGTGTAATACATGTAGTACATATAAGAAAGAACCTCTGATATGCAGCCTCCACTCCATTTAAAGTAGAACTTCACTCCTAAAGGGAAGTTTCACTTTTCTGCCTCCTCCCCACCTTCTCTTCAGATTTTGGACATTTTTTTGGGGGGGTACCTGATTTTTAAAGGTACCCGCTTCCAATTGGATCACCTAGGTGATCCTAACAGAAGTTTGGCCCCACCAACAGCCTCTTTGGACAATTCACAAGTCTCAGACTGCGGGTCAGTTCACAGGGTGCAGTGTAACTCGTGCATGCGCAGCAGGGAGCCAGCTGTGAAACCACAAGGAATTGGATCCCTGCACAGGTAAGTGTCCTTTTATTAAAATCAGCAGCTACAGTATTAGTAGCTGCTGACTTTTATTTTATTTATTTTGTAGGGGGGGGACTTAAATAGTCATAAACCACTTTGCAAAGTTACTACAAGTATACATTAATCACCATCTAAATGTGGCTCTATATATATATATATAGCAGTGGAGCGGCTGCATTATTTCTTGATGCGTTTCGCACAGAGCTTCCACTGGAGTTCAGAGGTATAGGAATATATAAAAATGCATTGCGTGAATGCTGCAGCATCTGGATTGGCTACTTGGCCTGGGCACCTTCACTGGGAAGCAAGTTATATGCTCCTCCACACCTGGAAGTCTACTGCATAGGCAAGGTGAGAGGATCTCTTAAAGCAGTGGTCCTTTAATTTAGTAGGAAGTATACAGCATTATACAAAGTATCCGCGTTATACAAATTGTAGGAACCCATGTTAACAATTTTGAAATAATCAATCAAATTTGCATATCTTACTTGTGCCTCTTTGCTTTGCAAGCTGCCATTGCAGACAGAGAAAAGTGTAAACATTGCATTATTCACAGTATATCCAACCTGTCTGCATCTGCACCTTAACTGCAGACAAGGATTGAAATCAACAAAAAAGCTTCTGCTCCACATACTTGTTTTATTCGCTTAGCTTGGCAAATAAAGTGACAATGTGTCCTTTTCAATCCTCCAAACATAAGTAAATTAAATATCTTTTTTTATTCTCTTTATTTTTTTTGCACATGATTAAATGAGACTGGTTTACCATAGGAGTTTAAAATCTTTATTCAGTAGATTGTGTGAGTATTCACTCCTGTTGTGTTAAAATAAAATGTATTTTTACTTATTTCATTTGCACATATTTGGGTTTTCAAAGTGAAGAAGAATTTGCTATTCACAGGCCTGGATAATTGAAGTGTATAGTCACACAATTTATTGAGCTAGGTTTTTAACTCCGGTAGTAAATCAATCTTAAAGTGATAGTAAACTTTCTTGCTGAATGGCAGAATATTTATTACCATATCGGTCTCTTCTGTCATAAATGTTTCCTCCTGCCTGTCAGCCGTCATGTACACTGAGCCGAGCATGCGCAGCTGAGCGAACAGTTACGGCTCCAATCTGTGCCGCTGCAATGTGACTCCTGTGTGCATGTGCGGGAGTGAAATCTTCACGGCCTGGCCATTCAAGCGGCCGAAGGCACGGAGCCCGTAAGGAAGACCAGGTGAACTTGGAAGCACCCAGGACCGCTGGATCGTTCACAGCCCAGTGCTGGAGGGTTAAGTTTGACAGGTAGGTCTGTCATAATGTGCTAATATGCTGTGCATACTAGCACATTATGGCATAACCAGGGGCGGACTGACAACTCATGGGGCCCCTGGGCAATAGGGGATCATGGGGCCCCTGTGTCCTCTCCCACACTCAAACCACAAAAAAGTCTATGAAACATACCAGCAGGGGCGGACTGACAACTCATGGGGCCCCCGGGCAATAGAGGATCATGGGGCCCCTGTGTCCTTGCCCAAACTCAAAAAAGCCTAGGAAAAAGGTACCAGGGGCATCTCATGGGGCCCCCTACTGACCCCGGGCCCTCGGGCAGTGCCCGAGTTTCCAAATGGTCAGTCCGCCCCTGGGCATAACCCACCTGAGGGCCCCTACAAACAAGAAACAAAAGCAGACTTTACTACCACTTTAATGAGATCACATATTTCCCTTATTTGCTAATCTAAGTGTAGCACCCTCCTAGATAGGTGCTAGGTTAGGTAAATTTAGATTTGGCTCACTATAATGAGTGCTGCTGTGTGTGATTAGTTAGATCCATTCAGTGTTTCACAGCTGCAAGGTTGACTGCTTCTCCTTGTCTGTCCAAGAATGCTCTGAAAGATAGAAGGCTAGGAAAGTCAAATCAGCGGCTGAATATTTATGCAGCCCTGGCCAATACCTGGGGAGAGTTGCCCAGATGGTGACTGGGAGTGTGTATACATACTCTGATACCTGGAACACAGATGCCTTGTTCCTGAGGAACAGCCTAGGGGGGCTGTTTTCTCCCTAGGAAATTCTGCCATGTGCTTGCGGTTTATTGAGGCCTCAGCTGGGCTAGCTGGAGGGCCTAGGTTGCTGGCAGTTGCTGGTGCAGACCAGCGGCGGACTGACCATTTGGAAACTCGGGCACTGCCGAGGGCCCAGGGTCAGTAGGGGGCCCCATGAGATGCCCCTGGTACCTTTTTTTCATAGGCTTTTTTGAGTTTGGGCAAGGACACAGGGGCCCCATGATCTCCTATTGACCAGGGGCCCTATGAGTTGTCAGCCCGCCCCTGGTGCAGACTGAGGGGCTTTTCATCTGAGGACCTAATCTGGTGTCACTGGGAGAAAGTGTCTGGAAGATATTGTAAGAAGGCAACCAACTATATAAGGACATTCATGAGTACAGACTGTTGTGAGAGATCCTAGAGACTGTGTTGTTGACACCCCTCTGGTGCCATAGAGTCAGGAGACATTGTGTCTGGTGTCCTGAAGAGCTCAGTCTATTTAATTTTTAGCGAAAGGACTCTGCTCAGATCTCTAAGAGACAAAACTGATATCCTCAGGTTGCTACTACAAAGCTCAGTTCTTAATTTATTAATACGAGGTCTTTGCTCATAGTTCTTCAGAAGGAAGTTCAAAATTGCTACAAAAAAGATTAGTTGGAGTGTCCCACAGCTACCCTACTCCTATCCAAGTTTAAGTTCTACAATAAAGCATCAGGAAAGCATACCCCTAGACTGTTCTTTGTGCCAAAGGAGTGACCGTGTGATTGGCTCCAGGGCAATTCCAGGAAAAAGACCTAAGGGACCTTTTAATACAGCAGGCTCCTATGGGGGTACCGCAACATAAGCATAAATATACTTCAAAGATTGAACAGTTTCTACTAGTACAGTACATTAAGCCTCAATTGTTGGAGCCATAAATAATATGTAAGTGCACCCATGTAACCACTGAAGATTGCATAGTTAGAAAAAGGCAATGCCTGTATAGGTATATCTGCAATTAAAATAAGGAAAGCATCAGGGATGTGCATTCTGATTTCATTAATTGGCTTTAAATGTTACAGAATGTTTGGGGATCTGAGTAGATCAAAGATAATTACTTTCTTTATAGTGACAGTGCAGGCCACATGGAAAAGAACATCAATTTGTATTAGAGAGTTACCAATACTAACATACAGGAAACTAAACATAGGAAGTGAATGTCAGAACAAACACAAAACTGAACAAAGTTACCATAAACAAGTTTTACTAACCTTTATCAAAGAGGAGAGCACACAACAAGTGTTGCTCACTTGCACTATGAGTTTAATGTGAGCTTGTTGGTATCAGTCTCTTGAAGTCACACTACAAATCATTAGAGCTCCCTCTAGCTGCAGCTTTGTAATAGCATTACTGGGTGGTTTATTCAGGGAACATCAAAATGTGACCAAACCACATCTGATTTCTTTTTTTTTTTTTTGTAGACGATTAGATTAATGTATCTCAAGCCATTAAACACATTTAGACCTCACGTAAATACTCTATATTTTTCGTAATCACCCTGAATAACCTTACAAGTGACAGGACTGATTTATAAATATTTAGAATTGATTGCTGCAATCCTCAGTGAGATGTTATCCATTACAACACACGCAAAAGACCTTGTGAACTAATCCCTTGTTTGTGTTGCAGGCAGATGTACGTTAATTCACAAATGTTAAACCTTTTATATCAAATCCCCCAAACAATTGGTTACTAGCCAAGAACTCCCTCAAGAACTATCTATTTGTATCAAAAGTGTCAAAAAATTCCCAAATGACTCGGCTACTTGGACTGATATTCAGAATGGTGTGTTAGTTATTTTTTACAGAAATTTATGAAACCGCAATAATAAAAGAAAACTGGAGTACATTTCAATGAGCATAGCTGTTTTTGTAACCTTTCATTTTCAGTGACTTTTTAGCCACTTTTGTAATTTAAAGTGTATTTAGAGCCAAAATAAAAATGTAATATATTGCAGTCAAGCAATCCTTAGATTCAATCCTGCATTAGTTTTTCTTTTTTAAGCTTTTTTTCTTTTATTTTCACCTGTTGATCTTGCCTTTAACACTCCTGTCTTAGAGTGACAACTCTCACTCACCCTGGCTGTAACAGGTCAACAGAAAAAGGATAGAACTTTAGGACATTGCCCCTCTCCTATTGTTAATAACATCAAAGGGTCAGATTCTGGAGTCCTCAGAGAAAGCTGAGAACTACCGTATGCAGGGCTTTTTTTCAGCGGGAACATGGGGAAGTGCGGTTCCGGCACCTCCAGCACTGAATGTATCTAATGGTAAGTGATGCTGGTGTGTGCTGGAGGGTCTATTGATGCTGGCTGCTGGGGGATCCATTGTGGCTGGTGGGAATCTATTTTTACATGGGTTTCTATTGTTGCTGGGTAGGTCTGTTGTTTGTGGGAGAGGTCTATTGTTGCTGGCTGCTGGGAGATCTGTTATTGCTGCTGGGGGGTCTATTTTTGCTGGGGGGTATTTTGTTTTGGGGCATCCATTGTTGCTGGAAGGGGGGTCTATTGTGTGTGGATGGGCTACTTTTGCTGGGGTGGGATCTATTGTCGCTGGGGGGTCTACTGTTTCTAGGGTGGGGTCTATTGTTTCTTACTGCAGGGGATCTATTTTACTGTCTTTCTTGTCATCATTAACAAATTTCCATACAAATTACTTAGTAGCACAAAATGATACTTGGCTCTGTATTCTCTAAAAGGGGCAGTACTGGGAGGTGGGTAGGGGGTGGAACCAAGGAACAGTGATCAGAAGTGGGTAGGGGGTGGAACCAAGGGCCGAGACAAAAAGTGACACAGAAGGGGGGAGTTCCTGCACATATTCTCTGAGAAAAAAAGCTCTGACCATATGTAAATGATAACAGTCAGCACAAAGAGAGCTCAGCTAATATTTGTATTCACATTTATTGAACAAATGTAACAAAAAAGCCTTCAAAAGTGTAGCAGACCAAAAGATCTCATAAGAGATGTTCATTGTTAGTGTACTGTACATACACCTTAAAGCCCAACTCTAGGCTTAACTCTCCCTCCCTCTGCTGCATGTTTTGATTTATTTTTTTCTCTACTTACCTTTTTCTGATGTACTTAGGCCAGTCATTTGCTGTGCTGGGTCCTTTTCTTCTTCTAATCTTCTGATGGTGGGTGATCTTGGAAGATGCAGAAAGCATGTAAGAGGGGGTTGATATCACTTCTGAGGTGGCCTCTGCCCTGTCTTTAGCCAGTTTGGGCTGGACTTCCTTTTACACCATAGGGTATAAAAAGTGGAGGGGAGGTGGAGCTACTAGAAGGGTTGTGTATGGAACGGCAGAACCATGGAGAGCTCCAATAATTGTCAGTAAGCAGGAATAAGCTGCGGCGGGTTCGGACATAAGTCATAACCCTCCTAACCTATCCTGCAGGGAAGCGTTCAGCGGATAGCTAGGCATAGGAAGCAGAGGCATTTCCCCACCCCACAGCCACACATATGCAAGGGGTGTGTATAAATGCAACTTCAGGGTGTGGATTGCCTCTGCTGCCTTTGATGGGTTGCCTGTTTTCATAGCTATCTGGTGGGAAAGCTCAAGCGGGTTTGGCCTTGTGTCTGAACGTGCCTAAGCTCATCCCTAGTGGTAAGCAGCCATATCTTTCCCCTCCATAGGACCCAGCTTTGGAATAGGATAGTCATGTGAAAGTAGCTGACCAACAGTAGGCAAATACCTAATTGCATGAAAATGTGATATTAAGGAGAGGATGTTGATAAGAGGACTGTTATGTCACTATTTGGACTTTCAGCTGTCAGTTGCCTCTTAGTAAAGCATTCAGAAAAGTAAGTTCCTTCACTGGACATTGTGTTAATGGGCAAGCTGGGAGGAGTGTGACACCATACATGGCATGGGTTTTTTTCCTCCCTTGTGGACCTTATGTACAACAAGGGCAAGAGACCAATATCCAGTGGTCATCTGGGCATAAGACAGAGCAAGGTGGAAACTGCTGCTGTTCAAATGTGCGGGAGTGAGGGAAACATGTCTTGGTAGCAAAGAGTCTCTTTGAGTCTCTATATCTACTGTACATAGGTGAATCAGCTTAGCCACCTGTGGACTGTGAGCTTGTTATTTGGTTGGGCCCAGAGGCGGACTGACCATTTGGAAACTTGGGCACTGCCCGAGGGCCCGGGGTCAGTAGGGGGCCCCATGAGATGCCCCTGGTACCTTTTTCATAGGCTTTTTTGAGTTTGGGCAAGGACACAGAGGCCCCATGAGTGGTCAGTCCGTGCCTGTTTGGGCCATGTTATTTGGTTGGGCCATGGTCATGTACAACATGGTAGGCCTTGAGGTTGCAAGATGGCGATGAGTTGCCCAACTGGAAAGGAGGAGGTAGTCCAACCTCTTGTGACAACAATTTACAGTAGACTCCTGTCATGGGATCTGGCTTAACAACTGCCACTAGTGGAGCAGTTCTGATGTAATTACATCAACTCTACTCTTTGTATAATTATACTGTGAAGGGAGGTTGCTGTGGTGGTGCAAGAACAATTGAGTACTGTCCATGTGTGATTTTTTTTTTATTTGCACTAACATTCACATTTTCAGGATAAGCTTTCAGATGTCC